TCGTTACTTTAATAATACTTTAGTATGACCAGATGATCTACAAAAATCAGCCAATCACAATAAAGTTCGCTATGCTCCCCAACTCATATAATACATATAGATTTTTATCTCCCTAAATGCAATACCCCTAAATGCAAGATTTTTTTCATATAAGTCCTTCGGGCATGCATTTAGGGAGGTCTGACTGTATATACAATCAGGTAATGATACATATGATTACGGTTTTAGATGTTGCCAAATATCTCAAAGGGGTTCAATATTTTGATTTCAGTATGTACAGTACGTACGTACGTACAGTGTTGGAAAAAAGTATTCGTAATTTCCGATTATCCCTTGTAACGTCCCACAATAATGAAATGCAAATTCGCTTTTAAGATGGTATAAATGATAAAATAAATACACTCTGATCTATCAAGGATATTACAAATTTATTGTGTTATAAATCCTTCTTTTCAAGTTTTGTACATATGAGTGGTGATTGATGGTTAAATGGTCATCTCAAAATAGAATGAGTATATCTATATATATCTATATAAAGTATATCGATATCTATTGTGTATTAAAGATTTGGTCACGCAAAGTAATACGAAGATTACTGTAAATGGATAAGGAAAAAATGAAAATTGTCTGAATGTGAGAGATAGATAAAAACGGGGTTTTTTGTTTTTTTTTAAACCTTAATGAAATTTCAGAATTATATATATAGAATTGGGCATTCATACTTTAATATTTTTCGCAATTAAAGGTATCACGCATTTAATTAATCATAAAATGTGGACTTTATTATTTTTAATTTTACTTAATAGTTTACAAGTAAAAGGTGGTTTGCAATTTAGTAATTGCATAGGTAATTTAAATTACCAAGGAATTGTCAATTTTGATGCTGCAAATCAAAATATATTATCTAATATTGGATGGACATTTTGTTGTTATAATGGTAAATGTTCTGCTTTTCCTAATTCTTTCACTGAGGTAGATATAACTTTTCAGTGCACAAATCTTAGTCAGTCGACTTTCTTCTGCATTACTACTGGTTCCAGTAGAACTGGGGCATTTGGAGGTATATGTGGAGGAATACTAGGTGATACTCCTGCAACTAACCTCGTTGGCCCAACAAACTCTGAGTGTCCTTCTCTTAATGCTGTATCTGATGCTTTATTAATTGGTCCAACTACCGACTCAGCTTTCACCTGGTTATGTTGTAATAGTGTATTTAAT